ACCAGTTCATCCCCCACAGTTACTACCTTTTGTACCGTCAGCCCCTCCCTCTTAGATTGTAAGCTCCAAGGAGCAGGGTCCCCCTATACCTCTTGTATTGAACTGTATTGTTGCTGTATGGTCTCCCTTTATATTGTAAAGCACTGAGCAAACTGTTGGTGCTATACAAATCCTGTATAATAATAATTTGAGTAAAACTGAAGATTTTGTCATCCAAGTTATATTATTAACCTTACTTTCATGTAGTGAGCTAAAACATTTTCCGCAAAACCCAGTTTTGTCAAAATTTTGGAAATTGTTCTTATGTTTATTGAGATATTGATTAAAAATCTTACTTTTCAAAAAGGGGTGTACGAATTTATGCAGCTATGCATAAGTCAGCAACTTATAGAGGGACTGTGATAGTGTGGCGGGCAATTGGACACTAACTGATGCTGGGTGGGAGGTACACTAACTGAGTGACACTAATACAGTGATCAGTTATAATACTGTACACTGTACTAATGACACTGGCTGGGAGGGGTTAACATCAAGGGATTAACTGTGTGCCTAACAAGTGTAATATGTGCTGCTTTTACCTAGAGATCTGGCTGTTTTTTCTCACTGCTTTTCAGGAAGAAGAAACAGCCAAATTGCTGTCCTGTGTACAGAGTCCTGTGTTTGTAAACACTAGGCTCTAGGCTGTGATTGGACACAGCCGATCAGCAGGTCTCAGCCATAAATCATTGGCTGACAAAATCCCGCTGTGTCCAATTCTTCTAAGCTAGAAGAAAGCTGGCAACCTATTTTTACGTTAGCCGAGCCTGCACTTGCCACCCGCTTGAAGTACATTTACTGTGAGCAGGCAGCAAGTAGTTAAATTAAATTGGCAATAACTTCCAATATGTACTCACTGAAAATGAAACATACTTACCCTGTCACTGAATTTACCTCACATGTAAAAACTGATGGAAAATCGCATTGATCCGCATGAAATATTATGGGCTTGTTCACACAGGGATGTCCAATTCCTATCGCCTGACGCCCGGGACATGCAGTTCCGGGCGCCGTGCAGGTAGTTATTTTTTTTTGCCCTGCTGCTTCCACACAGCCCACAGTGTCAGCCTCTGCTCCGTCCCCGCTATATGTCCCAGGCTCCGCTTGCCCATCTGCGGGCCCAAGCCTGGTTCGGCGGGTGCCAATGTGGTATAGGGGAGGGAGGAAGAGAGTGGACACATCCGCTCCCCTCCCCTTCTTCTCCTGATCCGGAAGTGATGTGACGTCACTTCCGGGTCCCTGTTCGACAGATTTCCAGTCATTGAGGCCAGGAAAGAATGTAATGCGGTGCGATGTGCATTGCATTACATACAGTGTAGTACAGGCGAGACATGCAGGGTCTTTTTGAGCATGTCTCAAAAAAGAGAACCTGTCACCAAAAATCATCTTCATAGGGGACTTTTTGTCCCGTATGTGATTTAAAAAAAAGTAAATTTTTTCTTTTCTTTTTTTAAATGGAAGTTACACCCAAGCATATAACACCCCCAAATTTTTCAAGGCCCCCCACCCCCATATATGTATGCATGCACAAGCATAAAAGCACATACTCGGGCACCTACGCATGAAGACAAGGATTGCGATACACGTTACATATCGCCGTGCATGCCAGATTGAGGGCAATAATTCTAGCACCAGACCTCCTCTGTACACTATACTGATGACCTACAAGGGGCTTTAAAAGTGGCACCTATAGAAAATATAGGGTACTGAAGTTTGTTGTCGTTTCACGAGCACGCGCAGATTTAAGGTTTGACATGTTGGATATCTATTTGCTCGCTGCAACCTCGTCTTTTTATTTACAAAAAAATTGGATCATTTATTGCTTTTTGTGCCCTAAAATTAACTTAACTGTATTTTTTACTGACATTTTGCGTTTCCTTTGTGATAATATCATGTGACATAAAAAATTGTAACTACTGCTATTTTATTCTCTAGGATCCCTGATTTCAGAAAATATACAATGTTTGGGGGGTTTGTGTCATCTTCAGGACTAAAATGTTTTTTTTAAAAGTGTGCAAATAACGCAAAAACAGCTCTGGCAGCGAAATGGATAAAGGATAAGCTGGACACTCCCCTTTCCTGACGAGCAGCCAATCAGTGCTCACTACACTGCAAGGTCTCTCCCCCTCCCTGCTATTCCCAGGGGGCGGGGCTGGAGACAGGCAGGGAGGGGAGGAGGAGATAAACAGTGCAATGTTAAAAATATTAAACGTTTCAGTCGCCATGGAGCCCCTTTTGTTTTTAAAAGCCCCAGGCATTACTTACAGCAGATTTAAATATGGTTTTGGTTAAAATGTATGTTTTTTTTTATCAGGACAAGTAGATTGTCATGAGGGACAAGTAGATTGGGACACCAATTTAGTCCATGGACAAGTAGTTTTTTCAAAAATTTCCACACCCCTGTCACACTATGTGCAGAGATGTATTTCTTATGTAGGTCTCTGGAAGGTTTTCTATGTGCTCTGTTCACACCATAGCATTGCTGTCATCTAATTTTTTTCTGAGCAGGAATCTGCAACATAAAGTTTTCTGCAAGGGCACAAAAGAAAAAAAAATGTTTTCTATGTGCCCTGTTGACACCACAATGTTGGCTTCACGTTTCTTTTCTGCATACATGTTGCAGGTTTTTGTGCAGAAAAAGTAAACCAGATACTAGTATTATGATGTGAACAGGGCGCATAGAGAACATTTTTTTTCCTTGTGCCCTTGCTCTTACTATGGTGTGAATGGGCCCTTTAAAAAAAGACAGTATATACTTGCCTCTCCTGATGCCTGCCTGGCAGAACACCTCTGTGTTCAAAAGAAATGATCTTCCGAAGTCTGCAAGGAAACCAACATTTCCAGGAGTGTTGATCTTTTGGATGTTCTGCAGCTCTTCTTGATTCTTCCATGTGACCTCCACCCATTACAGGATACAGTGGTGACATGGAGATAGAGGAACCAGTAGGAGCTGCAGGGGACCAAGGAGAACAGTACTTCTGGATGAATTGGTTTCCCTATGGAGAGATAAGTATATACAGTTTTCTTTTAGAGTGCAAGCTTGAGTCAATTTATTATAGTGACAGGGTCACTTTAGATCAGCCTCTCTCAAACTTTTTAACGCAGAGAAGCCCTAGAAATAACTTTCCAGTCTCAGGGAACCTCTGCTACAAATGACTATATCCACAACTCATGATACCTTACTGTGATGGTCAGTGGGAAGAATGCTCCTTACACTTACAGATAGCCAAACGGTTCAGTGGTGTCAGTGGTAACTTTTCTGAGAAGCAAAGGTTTCTCATTGTTCAAGGAACCCTTAGCAACCTCTAGAGCAGGGGTTTCCAAACTTTTTAAACAAAGGGCCAGTTTATTGGCCTTCAGACTTTAGAAGGGCCGCAATGTGGCCACCAGGAGTAGAAAATTTCCAAGCATCAATTGGAGTAAACAATGCTCCATCTTTTGTGTCATTGGGGGGAATGGTGCCCCATCATTGGTGTCATTGGGCCCCATTTTTGGTGTATTTGGTAGGAATTGTGTCCCATCGTTGATGTCATTGGTAAGAATTGTGCCCCATCATCGGTAGGAATAGTATCTAATTATTGGTGTGATTGGGAGGAAATGTGCCCCATCTTTGATGTCACTGGGAGGAATTGTGCCCTATGATTGGTAGGAATTGTGCCCAGTCATAAGGGTATTGAGCCTCATTGTTGGTGTCATGGGGAGAAACTGTGCCCCATCATTGGTATCATTTGGAGGTTTTGGATTGTTACGAAAGGTGAACTTATCCTTTAAAGTGGAAACATAACTATTTCAATCAACATGAACTATTTTTGATTCTTGTGCTGCTAGCCTTAGATGCCATAGATGGTTCTTATCTCATCCAGTTCAGCAGGGACTGTCTGAGATTTGAATAATCTATGGGCAGGCTGACTACCCAGTTTGATTGTTGTATGACTTGGGTACAACCAGCCTATCAGATTTTTAATGCCATTATTGCTGGTGGCTATAACTGCTAGCAACAATCACTGTCTTCTCCCGGCAGGGGCGGCTCCCGCCCTCCAGGCCCCCCTTTCCTGTTGGGAGAACACAATAGCTCCACTGGAAGGATTCCACCATCAACACTGACTGTGTAAGGGAATGGAACGATTTTCTGGCCTAGGCAAATGATATCCTACATCCCAGGAGTTTTTGTGGGCATTTTGTTTTCTTTTATTTGGAGGAGAGGCCCCACCACTATTATCCATCTGTCAAGTGCCAGAGCCTTGACTAACTGTAGGCATTTGGTTGGTTGATGATAGATGGATGTTAATGTTTTGAGGGAGCAAGGGTTAATCCCAACTCAGAGAGTTAAGGCTCGTTATATAGACTGGGCCAATGATCCAGGGTCCTGAAAAGGTACAAAGGAACTGATCTAAAGACAAGCACAGGTACATGCCGGTATCACCAAGCAAAAAATTATTAGAGTCATATTGGGCCCCATTGCTGTGGCATTGGGAGGAACTGTGCCCCATTGTTGGTGTTATTAGCAGGAACTGTGCACCATTGTTGGTGCTGGTTAATATAATAGTTCTTCAAGGGCTGGATAAAGGCAAGCAAAGGGCCGCATCTGGCCCTTGGGCCGCAGTTTGGAGACCACTGCTCTAGATGAATTCTGCTTTAGAGGAGAAGTGTACTTTAAAATACGAAATCCCACTTTCTTCCCACAGGCAAAAAAGTAATACGAACCAGTGCCCTCTTGCTGAAGAAAACCGATTCCTCAACTCTGTCTTAATCTTGGCTCTATATTCTGATTTTGTTCAAGGTCAATTGTATCTAAAAGTGTCCTTTAATAAGGCAAAAAAGTAAATGTTTGGTCCCTTCCAGTTAACTACAGTACAAAAGGCCAAAAGATGAAGATGATATATTATGCTATTGGAATGACCGCTGAATGTGTCTCACTTTTTTTTTTCATGCAGGCCAGACAGCAAGCCCAGATCCGTCATCAGATGTCAGACGACAGTAAAGGGGATTATTCATCAGTGTTACAAAAGTTTAACCGCGAGCAGAATGAGCACTATCATACACACATGCCGTCCATATTCCAGGTGTGGTATAGGCTCATCACTTTATGACAGACTTGTTACACTGACAGATCTCATAAATGTATAACTGTTGTCACCAGTATCAATGTACACACTTTACAATTGTAGAAACATTGCATTGTAGGACTTCCAAATAGCTGTGTGTTTAAATCAGCTTCTCAACCTTTTTCCTCCAGAGTAACGCCTTTAATAATTTTGAGGTCTCGGGGGACCCAAAAACACCAATTCATTGGGGGTCAGTGTGAAAAATGCCCCTTACATGAGTGGTCAGTAGGAAGGATAAAGTCCTTACATAGTGGTCAGAATTCAATCTTTACAGACAGCTTAAAGGATAAGTTCACCTTTTAGAAAAAAATAATAAATGCACATTTATTTGCAGGTAATGAAATATGTATTTATTATTTTTGTCTGCAGGAGCCTGGAAAGCATTGCACCAGCGATCAGTAGATCGCTGATGCCATGCAGGTCTCCTGCAGACCTGTCAGAATATCTGCTTGCTCTTACGGGATGTACGGCAAAGAAGAATGAATGCACTACCACGGCGCTTCGCAGCGCTGTAGTAATTGAGGACTACAAGCTGACAGCTGCTAAGGCTGTCTGGACATGTAGTTTTTCATTCACAGATGACTGTGAATGAGTGACGTGGCCATGTGGGAGGAGCTCAGCACGGCCAGGTTTTTTTTTAAATTTGACAGCTAGCGAGGGGGGAGAAGATCCCGCGCTAGCTGTCAAATCGGGGGGAAGGGAGTTGGCTGGTCTGAACGTGGAGTAATATGTTACACCCTGAATATGGGTATAACATGTACATTGTTACGAAAGGTGAACTTATCCTTTAAAGTGGAAACATAACTATTTCAATCAACATGAACTATTTTTGATTGTTGTGCTGCTAGCCTTAGATGCCATAGATGGTTCTTATCTCATCCAGTTCAGCAGGGACTGTCTTAGATTTGAATAATCTATGGGCAGGCTGACTACCCAGTTTGATTGTTGTATGACTTGGGTACAACCAGCCTATCAGATTTTTAATACCATTATTGCCGGTGGCTATAACTGCTAGCAACAATCACTGTCTTCTCCCGGCAGGGGCGGCTCCCGCCCTCCAGGCCCCGCTTCCCTGTTGGGAGAACACAATAGCTCCACTGGAAGGATTCCACCATCAACACTGACTGTGTAAGGGAATGGAACGATTTTCTGGCCTAGGCAAATGATGTCCTACATCCCAGGAGTTTTTGTGGGCATTTTGTTTTCTTTTATTTGGAGGAGGGGCCCCACCACTGTTATCCATCTTTCAAGTGTCAAAGCCTTGACTAACTGTAGGCATTTGGTTGGTTGATGATAGATGGATGTTGCACAGACAAACAAATATAGATGGTGTAGCGCTGATACTATAAACAATAATAACATACAGCTAGTAAATATGCTTAATGAAATGCTCCTTATAACTATGAAAAATATATCATAATCTCATAGATACTATTAAGATTGAAACCAAAGGTACAATGTACATAAATCCACGTCAGTGAATGACACCATAGGAATAACAATCACTAGTGTAAGTGTAACACACTCAATCTGTGACAAATGGTGATAAATAAGTCCACATCACACACAAGTGAAAAAATCTTCATAGACGTGAAGGTGCCATATGTGCCATAAATCCCAGAGTGGTCTGAGTGCCCCCTCACCCCCTTCGCAGTGACCACAAGGGCCAGACAACTTTGTAATAAACTTCAAACGATCTCCTATGGATCACCTTCCCAATTGGACTGTAATGGTTAATAACCAGGGCTTTGGCCAGACCTTCTCCTGCACTCCACCGTTCTGGCAATACTTCACGTCCCTTTAGGTCCCACTCAGAGACACAAACAGATACGCTCCATAGTGTAATATTAGCACTTTATTGAATAAAGGTAAAAAATACCCACTCACATGTTAACAGGTATCAAAAAACTCCATGAAGCCACATGCTATGAGGACAGCTAGCGTTTTTTGATACCTGTTAACATGTGAGTGGGTATTTTTTACTTTTATTCAATAAAGTGCTAATATTACACTATGAAGCGTATCTGTTTGTGTCTCTGAGTGGGACCTAAAGGGACGTGAAGTATTGCCAGAACGGTGGAGTGCAGGAGAAGGTCTGGCCAAAGCCCTGGTTATTAACCATTACAGTCCAATTGGGAAGGTGATCCATAGGAGATCGTTTGGAGTTTATTACAAAGTTGTCTGGCCCTTGTGGTCACTGCGAAGGGGGAGAGACCACTCTGTGATTTATGGCACATGTGGCACCTTCACGTCTATGAAGATTTTTTCACTTGTGTGTGAAGTGGACTTATTTATCACCATTTGTCACAGATTGAGTGTGTTACACTTACACTAGTGATTGTTATTCCTATGGTGTCATTCACTGACGTGGATTTATGTACATTGTATCTTTGGCTTCAATCTTAATAGTATCTATGAGATTATGATATATTTTTCATAGTTATAAGGAGCATTTCATTAAGCATATTTACTAGCTGTATGTTATTATTGTTTATAGTATCAGCGCTACACCATCTATATTTGTTTGTCTGTGCAATTCTGTAGGTACATAAGTGGGTGTTAGCAGCTTTTACTGCATATTTCTATCCATCTAAGCGCAGGTGTTTCGCTATACATTTTTTCGATAGATGGATGTTAATGTTTTGAGGGAGCAAGGGTTAATCCCAACTCAGAGAGTTAAGGCTCATTATATAGACTGGGCCAATGATCCAGGGTCCTGAAAAGGTACAAAGGAACTGATCTGAAGACAAGCACAGGTACATGCCGGTATCACCAAGCAATTTATGATTACCTTTATGAACACAGAAGCATGCAAGACAAACATAGGATTATATTCTGATTTGCATAGTGTGTGTTTGGAAGAAGATACGTATTTCTCTTTACCTGACCCTAGTCTGTTTGGCCAAGCAGTACACTATTCTCACAGTCTGCAATATTCTTTAGAAACTGCAAGATATGGAGGAAAAGAGGATAGCACGGCTGGGGGAATCACTGAAAATGTACGCCGAAATAGACCGCCAAGTAATCCCAATCATTGGCAAATGTCTTGATGGGATCACAAAATCTGCAGAGTCCACCAGCGAGAAGCAGGTAGGAGCTTAAGTTGTTTGGATGTTTATTCCACACCTTCCACCGTCCCCTTCCTTCCTTTCATTTATTCTTCTCCTTTCCTTCCTTCTTACATTCCCTTCTCTCCTTTTAAATTCTTTCCTGCCTTCCTTCCCACCCTCCATTTCCTCATTCATCTCTATCTTCATTATTCCCATCCATCCTTTTACATTTCTTTTCCTACTATCCAATCTTCTCTTCAGCTCGTCTTTTTTCCCTTGCTTCCTCTGTTCTTTTGGAATTTTTTTCCTCTTCCCTTCTTTAATTTCTTAAAGTGGTATTAAACCCAAAAGCAAAAATGTAATTCATATAATAAATGTGGCAGCTGCATTAGTTTTTTTTGTTAAGCTTTTTTTCCTTTATTTTCAACTGGTGATCCAAGCCAATAACACACTTTCTGTCTTAGGATGTCTCCTCTATATATGGAGGAGCAAAAGAGTCACCCTTGGACAGCAGCACCCTCTGGAGAGGGTATTGTTGGATGGACTAGTAGATATATATGGACTTTATATAGTTGACTAACCAACTAAAGCTTAACTCCAGCTAACACTTTTTTTTTTTTTTTTTTTTTTTTTTAACAGTTACAGAAAGTTTTTCTTCCTTTTGGGATAAAGGTTTTACATAAATGAATAAAATATCATAAGTATCCCTGTCAGTATTAAATTATTTGCCTCAACCCACTGAAGTCCACTTTTGCTGGACAGCTTGGTGTGCTAAATAAAGTTAAAAGAAATAACAGCAGAATCAACAGTTAAAAAAAAGACTCAGAAAAATACAGACTGCTTTGTTAATGCTAATGACAGACTACATCATATATGCCATTTTTGATTTTGCCTTTAGTACCATTTTTGTTTCTCTCTTTCACCCTTAGTTCCTCCAGAAGATACACAGATTGGATTCTGTCCATGACAGTACTAAACCGGTTGTCTAGTGACACCATGACCACAATATGTACAGTTTAAAGTACAAAACCGAAAATCCCCAAAAGATCTCTATAAACATGAAATGACTGAACTATGATTCTCCTGTTTCTGGGTGTCTGCAAACTTCACCAGACACCCATAACCCGGGAACAGCAGTCTTCCATGTTGGATAATTACAAGTGATGACCATCTTTTTCTCCTCAAGATAATGCAGCATGGTTTTGGACAGAGTGAAGTTAGGCAGGCAAGGAGTGTAATCTGTAACTGGGATAAGGTGACTCTGCAAGGAAGGAAGGTAGTAAGCACTTTTCGTTTTGTCCCCATCCTCTTTTTTATGTTTGTACATTGCCAAGCACTATGCTTTTTAACTCCCTCCCAACTAGTAGGGTGTAGGTCCTTGGACTTACCCTGAAATTCTTGGGGTATAGGGAGGGTATGTGGCCCTATGGTCAGGTTCTCCCCCCGTCCAGTACTTGGGTGGACCTTGTATCAGCAGGTTCCCTGAAGAATGGACCCCAAGTACTCCAATCCCCATCAGGAGTCTTGCACCGTGGGGGATCAGGGCCAAGGTCCTTTCTGTTCATAGGAGGATCTAGTGTATACTCTGTGCATTGTGTGTGCTTCATTTTTTATCTGCTCACTTTTTTTTGCACCTGGTGTTAGTTTCCTGCATGCACACAATGCCACAGAGCTTAAAAAGATAAAGAAAAAAAAAGAATGGAAGTAAGGGTAGTATAAGTGTATATTATAGCAGACACTGTAGCACCAACTTAGCTAAGGCTTTTTCAATGGAAAAATAATTTGTTACCAAACTGATAGCCAATCTGTCCTCTAGGAATTAGGAATGAATGGGAGGCAGAATGTGCTATTTATTTGTGTGGTCTAATTCTGATCTGATGACGATTGTCCAGATTGAGGTTGTCGTATTTTCTGGGTGGAAAGAGAGGGATGCCCACAGATCCCGCCCCCCATGTGAACGAGTAACATTAGTGGCATTAGTAACAGTGGTGAATAAAAACACAACCACCGTTTCTGACAAGTTTTAAAAATAAAAATTGTCCCTCAAAGTAGATCCAACAACAATCACGATGTATGCCGCTGCACGAACAAAAAAAAAAAAAAAGAAAAAGAGCTCCGCTCTTGACGAAGGCTCACCCTGCCCCAAAGCACCCCCCATGTTGAAGGCATGTGGCCGGGTATGGTTCAGGGAAGAGGGGGGCGCTCGTCCCCCCCCTTTCCTGACCTGCCTTCCTGCTCAGATCTTGTATTCAGTTTGGGGGGGACCCCCAAGCCATTTTAATTTTGGCTTGGGGTTCCACTTAAAATCCATACCAAAACCGAAGGGCCTGATATGGAAATATGGATGGGGGGGGGGCACTGTGGGTTTTTTTTCCCTGATTTTTCTAATTGCCAGCAGTAGGTTAGTTTATATTCAGCTGTCGGCGGGGAAGCCCGCCCACAGCTGATGACTCATCGGTTGTTAAGGACGCGGCGGCCGCCCGCTCCTTCACAACTAGCTTAATGCCACACAAAATGCAACATGCAAAATGCATTTTAAAAAACCCTTCAAAAAACTCAATACTTGCGTTTTTAGTGCGGTTCCATTGAAGTCTGTTACATGCAAAATGCAATCTGCTGCGGGAAAAAAGTCCCTGACCCTTTCAAAAATCCGCACCAGCACAAAATGCACAGATGTGAACTAGATATATAGGAAATCATGTTAAATGAACTGTAGTGCATTTAACGGGAAAACACACTGAAATCCGCATAAGTGCGAACCTAGGGTAAATTCAAGAATTGTTGTTCTAGAACTAGTATTATTATTATATAGGATTTATATAGTGCCAACTGTTTGCTCAGTGCTTTACAATATAACAGGAGACAATACAGCAACAATACAGTTCAATACAAGAGGGAAATGAGGGCCCTGCTCCTTGGAGCTTACAATCTAAGATAGAGGGGCTGGTGGTACAAAAGGTAGTAACTGTGGGGGATGGACTGGTTGGAAGAGTAGAAGATTCCATTATTAGCTGAGGGCAGGATAGGCTTCCCTGAAGAGAGAGGTTTTTAGAGATTGCCTAAAAGTGAGCAGAGTAGGCGATAGTCTGATAAATTGGGGTAGAGAGTTCCAGAGGATGTGGGGAAGCTCTGGAAAAGTCCTGGACACGAGCATGGGAGGAGGAGACAGGGGAGCTAGAGAGCAGGAGGTCGTGGGAGGAGCAGAGAGTACGGTTTGGGTGATATTTAGAGACAAGATTGGTGATATAATTTGGGGCAGAGTTATAAATGGCTCTATATGTTATTGTTAATGTTTTGAATTTTATTCGTTGGGCAATGGGAAGCCAGTGGAGGGATTGGCAGAGAGGGGTGGCTGATACAGAACAGTTAGTAAGGTGGATGAGTCTGGCAGCAGCATTCATGATAGACTGAAGAGGGGATAGCCTGCGATGTGGTAGGCCAATGAGGAGGGAGTTACAATAGTCAAGGTGAGATATAAAAAGGGAGTGAATAAGTTGCTTAGTGGTTTCCGAGGTTAGGAACGGGCGTATCTTGGAGACGTTGCGGAGGTGAAGTCTACAAGATTTGGACAGTGATTGGATTTGGGGGTGAAAGGACAGATGGGAGTCTAGGATTACACCTAGTACCCTGGCATGAGGGGGAACTAGTAACTTTATATAAATAGTAAAAATGATTGGATTTTATTTAAAAAAGTGTTAGCGCCCCTTGTTTACAGCGCAGGCGAAATGTTCAGCCTTGGCTGCATTTTATCACGGGATATGTTGACCTTTTACCTCCATAGCCCCATATTTCACCATACTATCGCATTATTGTCTACCACCAGGAAGATGTTAATGTGACAACATCTATGACCTGTGCGTTTTCGGATCACATTTATCTGGAGAGGAAAGGGAGGGTGATTTTCCATCACTTGTTTCCGGATATTATTAGGATGTTTGGAGAGATATAGAACTCTCTTAATGACAGAAGGACGCCATACATTTGTTAGTATTCTCGGTTCTCTGTATACATACTGTATATCTGTTAATAAGAATGTTTTTTCTGGGGCAAAGTCCTTTGGAAAATATATAACCTTTCAAAGACAACATAGCTTGTCGAATTGCCCTACCCTAATTGTAACTGCCAGTCATGCACATTCTACCACTGTGTAAATCACATAAATATCAGGAATGTGTTTATTTACATTCGGCCAGGTCACGATAACTGAATAAAATAATTCAATTAAATTAAAGTTGAACTTATAAATAGCTATATACAGTTACATACAGCAAGCCTAGTAGGAGTTGGAGAAGGGGGGTCAGGAATATGCATTTAAACAGGCCCCTGATATTTCCCATTTGAGATAGATTAAGAGATTGAGGACACAAAGTCCTCAATCCCTTTCTGTTTGCAACCCAGCATTTACTAATAATTAGAGAAATGTTCTATACACAGCACTTCCAGTTCATTCACGACTGGAAGGGACAGTAAACATGTGACTGAGGTTTACTATCACATCCGTTTATGAATGGACACATGAGTAATCAATGCCGATTACTCACTAGGTTAATTTAGAAAAGGAAGGAACCAGAAAATATGAGCAGCACATTTATTGATACCCCCCGCTGTGTGTCACCCACCTGTCAGTAATTTCGCACTTGTGTGGCTGCACCCTTCCCAGCTTTGTATCTCTACTCAAACCTGCTGTCTTGGCCAACACCAGCGGCGATCAGGGGACATGGAGGAGAGCACATGGCAGCCACAGAGCAGGGAGGATCACTAAGAAGTATGGTGTGTGTCAGCGGTGTCCATGTGAAGGGGGGGGTTCACATTTTGAGTGAATGGCTGCAATCAGCAGCTTATGAGCCATCCATGTACGCTAGAGTCAGGGGGACCATTTTGTTACAAGATAATGGTTGTGTACCAAAAGGGAGAATGCAGCCTGCATAAGGATTACTGGCCAGGTGGAAGTGGTGCTGTTCCGCTATGGCAGCGAAAGGGTTAAAGGTGCAGTAATAATGTATAAATAGTCACTTCTTCCAAGAATTAGCCATACATTGC